GCGTAACGAGTCACTTCATCCTATGTACTTACATACATAACTGATTTTTTGTACAAAACAGTTTTCCCTGCTAAATATTCCTCCGATAATTTAACGAGTTCTGTCACGTACTTACCACTGTAACAACGTCTGGTATATTAACGAACGCGTGTAACCACGTATTTTATCCATAGAACGATGTTGCAACAACACACTCTGTACTGATTTATACATTTGCTTTCTATATTCAATATGGAAATCGGAGTTTTACAACATGCTCATTACGCGAACGAGTTCCTTCGAGAAACACAGATTCGTTTCGATGGCAAAACATCTAGGATTACTGACATTTACGAGATACCGTTTTGAAATTGAAACGAACATATATTTTCCGTTCGATATCGAAACGCTAAAAACCTAGGCGAACTACAAAGTTCTTCGATCTGTTCATGGTACCAACAACGGGTTTCTTCTTTTAATCGATGTCTTTACCCCCTGTTCCGGTATCAATCAGGAGCGTATTTATCGCGAGGGAGATCCTTCGGTTATCTCGATCCAACGTCGACCGCACACTTTATAATCGTACACCTATAATCATGCAAATCAGCCGGTGCACACATTAAAATGCAACTATATCGCTATCGGGCATGATAATCGCGCGAACTTAATCGTGACTTTCCGGTACCCGTCGCTATGTGTGTATAGCCAATTATCGATCGTTTTTGAATGCCAGAGAATCTACTACCGGTGGTTTCCCTCTTTCGAAACGATCGACCACCGTTCGTCGTGTCACTGGATCGATATTCTCTCGCTGTTCCATCAATGGAAAGTGAAATTCGTTGGACACGTTGCGGATTATAAACGGTGTGCGTAAACGTTGTACGGAAAATTGGAGCAGCTCGACTGGTAACACCGGGGTGGGTTTGATCGATCAATCCGCGGGGTTCATTCGCAAAATTTCACAGCTTTCGAAGCCTCGTAAGCTCGGCGCAACGAATGCAAATGAAATTTTGCATATTTATAGAATCGACGATTATATTCCAGCCTCTCCTATCTCCACCTTTATTTATCCCCCCGGTTCCCGCATTTTCCGCGCGATTATCACGGGAACGTAATTATCGAGAGTTTCGTCGCGATAAATTTCGATCGTTTTCCGCCGCGTGGTTTATTTTTCGAATACATTGCAAATCGCGTGAATTACAGCCGACTAGACTTTATAACGAAGATTCGAGGAAGAGGTATGTCGTAAAAATTAATGGCTTCATGAATATTAAAAATAATCATGGAATAAAGTGTTATTTATCGCGATCAGCTGCCAAGACGAGACTTTTTCTACTTTACTCTCGTATCTCTCTCGGGTAACTTAATTAAAAATGTTGCTGTAAGATTACAAAATTTTCAATTTCTTTCTTCTCGTCGAAATTGTACAGAATTAAATACGACGAATAAAATACCATAGGCTAATCTGTTAAAGGGTTAATCACGCGCCTGACACTTCGCATTAATTACAATTCAAAAAGTATGAATAATACGAGACAGGATTAAACTGTTTCGTGCTTCGTAGGGTAGAAAAATTGCAGATCTCCTCGAGAGATTACCCTGTGTATAAATATCCTCGAAGTTTTAAGGGTACTCCGTGGAAGATGGCTAGGAGGAGTCGTTATTACGAGAATCGCGTGGTTTAAAAAAAAGAAAGAATCCCGAGTCGTCGGTCCCTCCCCGTCGGTGTACAAACCGTGAAATCGATCAAGTTTCGCGGCGGGATGTTTCAATCCGGGTTATAAGGAGCGTGACTCGGATGATCCTCGCTTAACCCAGATCCGCGTCCGGATATATCCTGTCGTCTCGAGTATCCCGGGCCGCGCGACGGGAAAGCAAAAATGAACGCTTCGATTCGCCACCCGGGGCGAGGCGGAAAATTACCGTCTGAATGAGAAATACGCGTCGACCTGGTTAAAAACTACAACAAGCAAACAAACATCTTCGTTCTCGACTGTTCACCTGAGAGAAGAAAAAACCCCCCGCTGTAATACCTTCTTTAAACTAGCGGCGTTAAAATCGTACGGAATACCTCTGTGCTTGTCTTTGCTAAGCACAACTTTATTCCGGAGAATTTTTCTGCTGGTACGACGGTCTGAGAAGCACGTATACTCGGAGGAAGGAATATATCGAGATCGTAAATTGAAGAGTTAAAGGTGAAGTGCAGG